CTCCTTCCCTCCTTCCTCCTTCCTTCCTTCCTTCCTTCCTTCCTTCCTTCCTTCCTTCCTTCCTTCCTTCCTTCCTTCCTTCCTTCCTTCCTTCCTTCCTTTTTGCAGCCAGAGGGGGTTAGAAACTTAAAATACATATTTTTTTAAAATGCAAGCAATATGCATTTCCCCCAGGAAGCGGATTTCCACTGATAGCCAAATGCTGCACAGAATTGCAGCATTCAAACATCCACAGTTATATTCCTTCGTTAAGAACTGCTTGCGCTGCTGAGAGTGAAAGAAAGAACGCCTTCACGTTTCTTTCAAGAAAGCCAACCTCTGGCTGGAATTTGCATGCCAAGAGCTCAACAGAGATAGCTAGAATTAGGCTCACAGTCCAAGCCTGCAAGGGAGACCAGCCTTAGGGGACTTCAGCCCCAGTGGACCTGGATAGGCAAGAATTTCCAAAGATCAGGGTGTCCCATGTGAAACAGGTTGCAATACGGAGAAGAGCTCCATTGGAAAGGAGGGAGATCATCCCAAGTAGGACCGCTGGTGGCCACGAAGCTATAATTCTTCACCATCTCGAAAGACGTAACCTGCAAACAGAAAAGCAGAGTTTTCTTTAGGAATAACATCTCTGGTTCAGCAAGCTTTTCACTCTCCTGTTTCAGCCAGTGGGGAGAGCCAGTGTTGATGGGCAGGGAAGCAAAGGGTCTTTAAAGGGTGCACATCATTGATTCCCACAAATATTCTGCTTTGTGAGTTCTCACTGTTTTTAACTTGAGAGAAGAAACAGTTGGATGCCCTACTGATCATCATCATCATCAAACTAATCATGACTAGATCTTCATGTCCCCAATCGTGGGCAAGGATCCTCACGGGGAGTCAAGCAAGTGGCCACGTGATCAAAAAGCAGATATCATCTTGACTTTTTTGACACCCTATTGGGATTAGGACTTTCCTTATTTTTTTAAAATGATGTAGATAGAGCTGAATTTACAGGACTTTGAGCTCCTGAGCCCTGGATTTACGCAGGTATCTGGATGGAGCTGGGAGAGTGAGAACAGGAAGAATCCAGAAAGTCTTGGGCATTTAAGCCACATTTCCATCACCACCTCTTAAACGGATGAAGAATCTCCTAGCCTAAGAATATCAGCTTTTAGATTGAAAATATACACACTAAGAACCACATAAAGTGATAAAAGTTTCTGTCCTGTGGCTCTAGGGCAGTGTTTCTCAAGCTTAGCAACCTTAAGATGGGTGGACTTCAAATCCCACAAATTCCCCCCCCCCCCTCCCGGCGGGCGGCGGAGCCGGTCGGTGGTC